GCAAGCTAACAAGGCCCTATGACTTGATCTTAATGTCTAAAGTGAAATCTATATCTTATAAATCTAATATTGGCCGAGTAGGTCCTATACTTTAACTTAAAAAATGTTATAAATTTTTCGTGTTTGATCTATTTGCCCACATACTTGAAAATGAATTATTGGATTCGTGGCTATTTAATAGTTCAAATCATTTCTTTATTAACTATTGCAATTCATTGAGATGTAATTCATTATTGTTAATTAGTGTTATGTTACTTATTCTCTTTCCTATTTACTATTCTTTTTATTTAATGATTAATTAAGAAATTCTTTTAAATATTCAAGTATGCTAGCATGCGAGTGGACAATTTAAAGTAACTACACTATTATCAGTACACTATCATTTTACTATTAATACTTTAATTCATACAGAGTTACTAATTTACATATAAAACTACTTATATACCAACTATAAAAAAACTAGCTTATTTACTAACTATATTATTTTAAAGTATTACACTTACTTATTCATTGCTTCTAATATAACACAACACGATCCGACTAGTTCTAGGACATGCAAGACAATAGCTAGTACCATAAATAAAATCGATATAGTATGTCCACCCGGATCCCAAAGCCCCATCTAAGGTATAATCGTCCGGTGCATTCCTCGGAAATCAGCTCCATAGAGAAGTAAACCATATTATCTTATTTATCTACACCACAAGGAACTATATGAGCTACAACCAAGTAAGTTAACGTATGCATGTAATGTACGTGTATGTATATGCATGTATAAAATATATACATAATAAATCTTTTTTCTCATGTCATCAAATATTTTATAAATATTCTAAAATTCTCTTTTTCTATCTTTGGACATATCTCATTTAGGTACTTCGGGGTTTTCATAATTATGTTTGACAAACCAGACATGCCCACGGACAAGCCCTACCGAGCCTCTAAAAGTGCACATATGCACTTGGCCGCCCCTAAACCTTTACCATTACCATATGGAAAACCCATGAAGCCCATCCTCATAAAAATCACAAAGTCATGAAAATCCTTTTTCTTTAAAATAATTCTTATCGCCATCGAAAACTCATAGCATAAAATAGGTTTTCATGACTTAAAATATTATTCATGGGCTTTGGCATGCACATGCATTTTGAATGACAATGCATGCTAACAACGATACCTAAATGTATGTCCTAAATGATCATGTAACCATGTCATGAAAACACGTATAAACTTAGGCAAGCATAACGGCATAAATAACATCAATCCATATCAAGCGAGTGTAACCATCATTGGCACATCGGTTACCATAACCACAACTCTCATCACCAATCACAACTCAAGTATAACCATTATTCATTATTTATAGCACCACATACATTATTGGAAAGAAAATACAACCATAACATAAGAGTAAGTAAACAATTACATTTCATTTTAGTTTCATTAACTTGCTCTGCATTTTAACATTTCTAAGTTATTTTCCTTAGGTTCTTATTTACCCTTTCACATCTAAAATTTACCAAATTAGGTACTAATCTATGTTCTAACTTAATTAGGTGTTATCTCATTGATTATATAGTCCAATTTCGGTTTGGGCCTTAATGGGCCTAAGGTTCGATTTTTTCTATATCAATTTTTCTTTAAATTTTCATGAAAAATTTTATTCTAAACCATCCTTTTACATTATTTTGAGCTTAAATGAACTAATTTAGGATTTGGAACTTAATTTAAACTTAATTCCCAAAATTCCTTATTTAGGCCAAATATTTCACCATTTAAATTCCTAAGATTTTCTTCTCATTTTTCTCTATCATTTTAATACCAAGTAGCCTAAATATGTACTTAGTAATCAATTTAATTAAAATTTAGAACCCTAATCCCTGCTCAAATCAGTATTGGGCCTTAATGGGCTGAAATTAGGCCCAAGCCCATATAACCTATTTTCTTCAATTTTTAGCAAAGTTTCCATTTCTACTCATCAAAATATGTTTATTCAAGTGCGAATGGCCCATCAAATTAGAATCAAATTACTTTGAACTCAAACCCTAATTTGCTTAGTTTAGGCCGAATATAATTCCTAAAATTAGTGAATTTTTCTTCAATTAAAGTATAATTTTCCTTTCCTAAACACTGATTCATGCTTAAATATATCAAAATCAAGTGCTAAAACACCAATTAAATGAAAGAATTAAAAACCTCCAAATTGAAGGTTTAGGCCGAATAGAATACCTTGAATAATTCTAGAAATGTTTGAGCTTCAAACTTAAATTTCAAGGAAAATCAACCTATTTTTATCTCAATTACAAGAATTATAAGCTTAAAATCATTTCCCTCAAATTTGATTCATCAAGAACCCTAACCCTAATTTTTCTTAATTAAGCAATTAAATCAAAATCAAGCAATTAAATATGAAATTGACTTGAAATTAAGCATGCTTGTGGTATAGGTGAGGTTAAATTACATGATTAAGCTCCAAATTAACCTTGAAAAGGTAGGTTGTTTGAAAATTCTCTTCCTCCCCTTTCTCCTCCTAAATTTGAATTAGCTCTTTTAATTTTTTGCTTGAAGGTATTCAGCCCCCAACTTGAAATTGAAGCTTAATCCACTTATTTGAAGGGTTTAAAATGGGTTAAGATTATTTTGGGTAGTTTTTGAGTGGAAATTTTGCAAGAGTTTCTTTTGTGTTTTTCAATTTTTCTTCCCTTTTTAATTTTCTAGAACCCCAATTTATAGGAAAATTTTGTGGACTTGTTGACCTCATCTCCACCCTTAATTTGGATAAATATTAGCCCTTAATTCAATTTTCAATCAATTCTTTTTATTTGGATAAATTTTTGGCCATTTGTTCTTCTTCTTTTTTAAACCTTTCATTTAGCTTAATTTCAACCATAAAATTTACTGGAAGTTAGAATTAATTAATGCTTTAGGTTGGCCAAAGTTGGAAGGAAAATGACAAATTTTGGTCTTCCAAGTTTCTAGAGTTTTCTAGGGCTTATTCTTTCCTAAATCCTCCTTTTATTCAAATAATCATTTCTAACCCTTTTTTTTTCAGTATTTAGAACCTAATTTTGACCCTTAACGTTCCTAAGTAATTTAATTTGGATTATTAGACTTTTAATTTTATGCAACGAGTCCCTAATTTTATACAATTTAGTCCCTACTTTTAAAATTCCATCCTATACTCTTGAAAAATCCTATTTCTTTCCATAATCAATTCAAATATTTATTAAGGGATTTTATTTTAAATTTTATTAATTTTTGGACCTCATTTGAGCCTCTAAATTAATTATTTAGTGTGAAAATCACACTATTTCCTATTAAAAATATTCCCTATACTTAATGAAATTAATTTAAAAATTTTTCAGGCACTCTCACACCTCCTATATGATTATTCTATGCTCTTAAAAAAATTCCTCATACTCTTAAGGTACCTAAGTAAATTCTTTACCTCTAATAACACTATTCCTATACATAACAATTCAAATAAAATATTCATAACATACAAGAAAATTAATAAAATCACATAAATTAATTCAATACCCCTCTAACAAATATTCTAAGGAAATATATATATATATATATATATATATATATATATATATATATATATATATATTTTCATAAAAAAACATGCTTTAATTAATTATTTCATGTAAAAAATATTATTTATGCACCCTAAAATCAATAAAATATTTCTTAAGCATGGAAAAACTATTTTGACTATTTCAAATATTATTTTAAATCCCTAATTATTATTTATTACTCTCAAAACATTTTTCACATGTATGTAATATTAATTTTTTTTTAATTTTAGCTTTAACGAGTACCGGTTATTATATGAAGAAAAGAATTTTCTAGAAAATTTAAGTCTCAAAATCTTATTAGCCCAACTAATTAATTGTAGGAATCTCAATCATCGTTAATATTATTAATTAGTGGTAACCGGTCTTGCAAGATACTTATTTGTTAATTGGTAATTGTATAATTTTCTTGGTTTTTTTTTTTTCAGCATTAAGGAGGTATTGAGGTAAGCTTTTGTACTTCTCAAGACTAACTCCCCACTAGACATGGTTAGATTAATTTCCCTTTAGACATAGTTAAGCGGCACTTTTCAATGCACGACTTTCGATATTTAAAAAATAAATTTTCAAAAATGCCGATCACAATGATCAAATTCTGAATCGACTCGGTGCTTGCTTACTAACAAAATATTACCACCTTGTTGTTTGTATAATTTTCTTGTTAAAATAATAATACGTGTTCAATATTTAAAATGTTTATTTTGAATGTTAACAATATCCTGACTTGTTTTATTAAAAAAAAAAAAAATTGGAACATTTTGTATATTTTTAAAAATATAAATTTCAAACTTTCTATCCCTTTAATGAGTTATGGCATGGTGTTAATTTTTTTAAATATTTATTTTAAACGTCAATTGATTTTATAATGATATGTTAGCAGTTCAATTACAATCTCTTGTGGTAGCACATCAAATGTCACTCCTCTCGGACATCATGAATCTTCGACAAAAAATTCCAATCCAGCTCTGTCAATTTCTATGGTCATGGATCTCTCAATATTCTGCCAGATCATGAGTTTTCCACTTTCAATCATCCGTTCTTTGTCTTCGGTATACATGTATATATACGGACCCACTTTTTTTAGTTAAATTTGCGCTCTCTCTCTCTCTCTCTCTCTCTCTCATTCACATTTCACACACACAGCTTTTTATTTGTTCCACCAGTCACCAGATCTAACCTCTAAACCCAGCTTCTTATGTTACGAAGTTTCCTTTGCCCAAAAAAACCCTTGTAGTCTTGATGAATATCACAAGACCCCATCAACACATCTCTCCATCCCATGCATGATATCATTCAATTCTGTATCTTTGCCTCTGCAAAAAGAAACTGAAGAATCCATCACATACACAACCTAGCCAGCTAGCTAATTCACACACAACCATTATTTTTTTCTCTCACTTTCTTTCTTCCTTTCCCTCCATGATGCCCCCAAATAATCTTCAGGCAAAGCAGACCTCAAAAGATGACAACCAAAGCTCTACTAGTAACCGTAAGACAGCAACGACAAGGGCACAAGAGCAAGCCTTGAAGTGTCCGAGATGTGACTCGCCCAACACAAAATTCTGCTACTATAACAATTACAGTTTAACACAGCCCAGGCATTTTTGCAAGACTTGTAGAAGGTACTGGACTAAAGGAGGGGCCTTGCGCAACGTTCCCATCGGCGGTGGCTGTAGAAAAAACAAGAAGATAAAGTCATCTTCCAGGCTCTCAAATGACTCCAAAGACTCGAGTGGCTCCTCGGAGATCGGTGGATTCAACTTCTTTCAAGGACTCTCCCCAGCTATGGATTTTAATCTTGGTGGGTTATCATTTCCTAGGCTGCACCCTTCACCAAGTGGCATATATAACCATTTCCCTTCGTTTGGGGATATCTCAGCAACTTCTGCAGCTGCACTTACTGTTACTAGTCCTTCTTGTTTCAGTCTTGATCCATCTATGAGCTCCACTGCTTCTGGTTCCTTGATGGGGTTTAATTATCCACTTACTTCAGTTACTAGTGGGTTTGGTGGTGCAATTCAGGAGAACATTGGTGGTGGTTCAATGAATGTCAACACAAGTCTTGCGTCTTCAATTGAGTCTCTGAGTTGTATAAACCAAGATTTACACTGGAAGTTGCAGCAGCAGAGGTTGGCTATGCTATTTGGTACAGGAGAAAATCACAAAGATGGCAGTACTGTTTCTACAGCTCCAATTGAGAACCAGGTACAGAAACCACAACCAATCATGTTTGAAAATCTTGAAATTTCAAAACCACAAGCATGTGCTGCTGGTAATTCAAGAAAAGACGGTGCAACTAGTGGGGATACAGCAACTGAGTGGTTCTTTGAGAATTCATATGCTCAAGTGACAGCAACGCCAACAAATAGTAGCAACAATGGCAATAATGACAACACAGGCAATTGGAATGCGGTTCGACCTTGGGGTGATTTGCATCAGTATAGTGCTTTGCCCTAGACAAGAAAGCATCAAGAGGTAGACATTAACGAAACAAATAGGAAAAAAAGACAATATTATATAAATCCCAATTTAGATGTATAATTAAAATCAACTTGTAAAAGTTGGGAAACATGAGACCGTATTTGTCTTCTCTTATTTATAATTTTTTTGGGTGCTTAGCAAGATGTTGGAGAGTATTGATGGTATAATTTAGGTCTTGCTGTTGATATACTTGGTGCTGAGAATATTTCTTTTAGCTATACATTAGATGTATCCCTTTTGCATATTTACTACAAAGATGTAGGACTCCTGTTGTTTATGGTATAAATAAAAAGCCAGTTTCAGGCGGAAAAGATAGCGGTGGACGCTTACATATATATATGAATGTGCGTAGAAGGTGCTAGGTAGGTATCCGTGTAGTTACATATCGCTTATGGTGTATAGCCTTATGGTCAAGGTGAATTGGAGGGTGCTCCATGTTTCACTAGCTAGCAAGTCACTGCAACTTTTTTCTTCAACAGTTATGCTTGGGATCCTTTCTATCTTCTCAATCTCTTTGGGATCCGTGATGAATTTTGGACTGTTATTAAATTGGGACTTAATGCCATATCTTTGATTTGTTTTATGTTCAGTCATTATCCATAACTCTCACTGTCTCAGTGTGTCTGTTGCTCTTTCTCTCTCAGGGGAACTTAGTCTCAGGCACCTCAGCTACTGAGCAAACAATGCTAACAGTACCCACAGTATCAGGCTCAGTAGCTGGGCAAGTGAGGTCTTCTCTGCGTAGGTCCTCCCTAATAGCCCTGCAATGTTAAGAGCCCTAGCTAGCCAGCTGCTTTGCCTTCTCTGATCTCTCTCTTTCTCTGTCTTTCTTTCTGATTGCGTAGGGCTCCGCATAATAATTAGTTGCAGTGTGGAGTGATTTGGTGGTGTCTGAAAAAGTGGTGGTTTGAAAGTGTATTGAATGAAAGGTTGTCAACATATATATATATATATATAGAGAGAGAGAGAGAGAGAGAGATGGCATCTAAAGCTAGCCTAGGGTTCGCTTCTTTTGCATACAAAAATGTTTTTTGTCGACCTTTTTAGCTAGCTAGGGTCTTGGGGACTGAGCCCCTTCGTGCCAATTGATTCTGCAGCTACTACGACTCCTACTGACCATCATCTCATTGTGATTCTGTTTGTGACTAGTGAGAAAGAAAGCTTTGCTTTTTCTTTGATTGCCTTTCCATCTTTATTCTCTTGGATCTTCCATTATTTATGTAAACATTCTCCCATTAGGACAAAAAAAAGTCATAAGAACGATATATTAGCGCTAAACACCTTTTAAACCTTGCAATTCGAAGGTATATACATGCCTGCAAAACTTGTTTCAAAAATCTTAAAAGACACTGCTCTAAGCTTACGAGGTCATGAGATATATATATATATTGGTCCTTTAAGCACCGGCGGATTATCCACAAAATTTTAGGAGAGACAAGAATATAGTTAGCGTTTTTAATTTTGTGTCAACACTTAATTTTATCCATTTCAATTTTGGGAAATAAATTTGATTTGTCAAAAAATTTTAAAAAATAATAATAAGAATATTCTTTTTGATTTTTATGTGCAAAAAATAAAACTTTATTTTTAATAATAATTATTATTATACTAATACAGGAAAAAAAACGAAAATTACTTTGGAATTTTATGTGAAAAAAATAAAAAACTATTTTGAAAACATTTTCTTTATCAATAATGTGTATTTATTCTTGAAACTAATATGTATTTTACGTATATACCAGAGGGAGAGATTTTTAGTTTTGAAAAAGAAAAAAATTATAATCCAGGATCCAAATGCGAATAAACTTTGAGATGTAGGGATTGGAATGAATATTTTGAAAGTTATAGGGACTTTAGTATATGTGCTAATTATGAACAAAACAGAAAATCCTAAAGGAATTAGGCTGATGCCCTCCCCAATCTCTTCGAGGATTTGCTATTGTCTCGAACAGTACATGCACATGTGTTCGTACGTATTCTACAAGGTTGATTTAATGGTAAAAAAAATTATTTTTCCTCAATTTTTTTCAGTTTGAATCTTGATATTTGCGTTTAAAAAAATTATTTTCATAAATACATTAAGTTGACGTGAGAGTAAGTGAGTGATTAACATGCAAACTAAACTAAAAATATTACTTACAATTGAAGGTATTTATATATATATATATATATATATATATATATATACGGAGAAATTTTATAATACTAAAAAAAATATAATACGAGGAGGTTTATTCATTAGTTATTTTAGTTTTTGGTGTAGAAATGCATTTATATTCACATTACATTAAAATTAAATTAAAATTGAATGAAATTATGATAAATTGAAGTCATGAAAAAGAAAAAAACTATATATTAGTATGAGCTGTGTGTTTGCGTTTGGCTATTAGTACAAGTTCAAAAGTATAGCCCCCACATCTTTTAACATCGTTGTTGCTTTTCAAACCCAAGTTCACTAAAGTTACATACACTTGAAAAGCCATATAGGTAATCATTTGTATGTTTTTTTTTTTTCCTATTATTATTATTTCTGTTTTGTTTTGTCGAAATGAACTTAGTTTGTTTCTTTTACTAATATTCAGGGGGGAAGAGAGAGAGAGAGAGAAAGAGAGAGAAGGATGGATGGCCTGTTTTGGAAGAAAGTGTATGGAACATGAAGTTGCGTGATTAACGTGAAAGAGGCCACTAGGAGAGAACTTAACTTTTTTTGGTTCGAACTGCCTGCTTGTGTCCTGTTGTTTGTGTTAACTGTCATTTTACAAGTTATAAACCTGCGAGAAGCTCATGACCCACCCTACCTATATACTGATGATATATACAAATCTATAGCTAACCTATTCCACATCCTGCTTTGCTCTCTCTTCCTCTCTTCGAATGTATGTATGCATGTCCTCACCCTTCCCTTCCTTAGCCAACTACGTATGACACAGCTCAGGCCCCACCTAACAACTACTTCCGTGTTCTGTCTTCATTAACCAATGTGGGGCCATGCGTATCAACGACAACCACAAAATCAATATTAATTAATTTGTGGGATGACACATATAAGAGGCTAATGATGCTGTTTATAATTATATAAATTTAGCAATTAGGAATTATTTTTTATTGTAATTTTATTATTATTATTATTATTATTTATAAGAGATCGTGCAGCTAAATTCAATTTTTAGAGTATTTAAGTTTAAAAAAACATGATTATAAGAGAAGAAAGTAACGCCAAATGTATATATAAAAAAATAATATTTGATGCGGGCAATTGATATGAACTGTAAATTCAATTTTTAGAGTATTTAAATTTAAAAAAAAACGTCATTACAATAGAAGAAAGTAACACCAAATGTATTAAAAAAAATTGATATTTGACGTGGGCAATTGATATGAACTGTAAGGTCCTGTCTACAAAAAAAAAAAAAAGGCATTTTAATGATAATTCATGGATCAAACTATAATGCATTGTAAGAAAATTAAAAAATAGTAACGGATTAGAATCAGTTGCTAAATAATGAGTAAATAACAATCAAATAACGTATGTTTAATTTAACAATGAAATAGAAATGATTTAATAATGATTTATTAGAGAGGGATAACATTCCGTCGTCATTTGTAACGTCAAAATCTTTCCTAATGCTTTAGATACAGTTTTCTAGTTTTTTTTTCAATAATGGATTGCCCTCTTTCCGATAAATAGCTGGCTAACTTCTTGAAGTGTGAATCGAATAATTCTAGTGATTCATATCAACTTTAATTCTTTGTTTGTTTTTTTTTCCCTAGTAACAATATCTTTGGATTAATATTCAATTGAAACTAAATTTTTAGAGTTGTCCTTATAGCTAAGAAGATTTATTCTTTATAAATTCAAATTTTGAAATCAATGCTTAAAGAAATAAAGAAAATTTATCAATAGAAAAAATTGTACCCTTAAGTAATCAATGTTAATAGTATAATTTAAATGGATAGATTGGGAAACGGTGGCATTCTTACGGTACGTAGCAAAGTTTTTCCAATAATTCTACGTGGCATTTCAAGAGGGAAAAAAATCTCTCTTTGCAAGTTCTACGTGGCATATAACTAATCAGACATGTCATCATCACAAAATAACGTATATATCTGTATCTCTCAAATCGGGGTTGTTTTGTTGTGTGATGGTGATGACGTGGTTAGAAATGGAAGAGACAACCTCAAACGAGAAAAATGCTTTCTTTGCTTCGTCTTTTCGGCATCTTCTTGGTCTTTCCGATTCTAAAACAAGACAACACCTCCCCCATCCCCACCAACACACACACACCTTCCACCAACCGACCCTCATCATTTCATTTTTTAGCCTCTAGTGCTTGCAGTTTTCTTTATTTTCCCTCTCTTTAATATGGTTATTGAACCAAAAAAAACATAAAGTTTACATTTTTTAAAAATTATATTAATATGTTTTTTAATATTGAATATAAAATATACAAATTAAGTTTGTGTTAATTAAATTAACATGTATGAATTTTTTTATCAGAATTTTGTTATCAGTTTACCTGACAGAGTTTTTTTGACAAAAAAAATTATTGAATGAAGTAATTCATAATTAACTATAGTTGATTGAGGATCTTTAATAATTTAACTTGGTCTTTTTTACTCTTGAAACTATATTGTTAACAATTTATCGAAATATTAGCTGAAAAAATTCATGCGTACTAATGTGAATTTTCATGCGTACTTTGTTATTCACATTAGTACGCATGAATTTTTTTAGCTAATATTCTAACAAATTGTACTTTTAAATTATATTATCATAATAAAATGCAAGCTTTATAATTTTTAATTATATTACCTTGCATGTTCTTTCAATATTGGACAAAAAAATTCATGAATTAAATTTTTTTTAATTTTTGTATTTTCTGTCAAATAAGAAAATGCACAAATTAAAATTTTTTAATTTGTGTATTTTCTGTTTGATATTGAAAGAACGTCCAAGAAAATATAATTAAAAAATATAAAGTTTGTGTTTTTTTTATTTAATAAGCCTATTAGTATTCGATCTGAGTTTATTTTATTTTTTTATTAGTAAGAATATATTATTTAATATGTATTTACAAAATATAAAAATTCTTAACCAGCTGAAGTTAAAAATAAAAAGATATCCACATAAGTAATTAAATAAATTAATTGTTTTAGAAGGAACACAACGGCATCCAAGAAAAAACAAAACAGTAAACTTTTTTTTTTTTTACAACAGTGCAAAGGCATTGAGATCTCAACGTCTGTAGCCTACTAAAATGACACGTGGTTATTAAATATTTAAGGGTCAAGATACTTCAGCGTAGACAACCACTCCAAGCATTACGTACATAACACTAAAAAAAATTAATTTATGCATAATAAAAATTATAAATATGAAAAAAAAACTAAATTTAAATCAATAAAATAAAATATATGTGATAAATTAGAAATACTAATTGTAATTAAAAAAGAGTATCTATGAATTTAAAAAAAAAATTGAGTATTAAAAAAAATTGTAAAGAAAAATAAAGATAAAAAAAATTTCTGGTATTAAAAAATATGAGCAATCAGAAAAAGAACATATAAATTGATTAATTAGTATTATAAAAAAAATTATCTTGATAATAAAGTTTTATTAGCTTTTAATTGGACCTTGTGTTAGAAAATAATACTTATGCAATTAATTCGATTTTTAATTAACTACTGATTTGCTTCACCTTAATATTATCAACTCAAATATGACATTAATTTATTATAGAAATTTGTATTTAAAAATAGTAGTTGTGCAATTAATTTTGATTTTTAAGAAAATACTAACAAACTAATTTGTCTAATAAACTCCTAAAATTAAGCTCTAGAATAAGAGATAAATCCATAAAACCTATCAAAAAGTTTGAGATTTAATATATATTAGCCAATGACTAATGCGTTGGTGTTTTTTTTTTATCTTTTTATATATTTTGTTAATATATTTTTTTAGATCAAATTAAAGAGAGAAAAGATGATAATAATTATATAAAAAGTTTTATTTACGAATAATATTTGAAATAATACATACACAATTAATGATACATAACTTATATAAAATAATTCTAAGATACATATATATATTAAAAATAATTGAAACCCGATTTTGCTAATTGGATGTATTCTATGGTGATCAATTTGTATTGTAAAAGCATTCTTTCAATATTAAGAACTTTATTTAAGAATAATACTTATGCAATTAATTTTATATTTAATCAAATAGTAATAGTAATATTAATTTACATATTATCAACTAAAAACATCACATATCCAATATATATATATATGTGTGTGCGTGCTGGAATTTGTGAAGACTTGTAATTCAGAACACAAACACCTAAACTCTATTCTAGGCCGAAACCTCCGGGCCAACAATTCAGTAATTCAGTCACAAACACACATGTAATGAAATAAGCCCAAATCAACCAAGTCCACAATTCAACACAAAATTGAAATCGAACGACACACAACAAACCCAAAAATTCTTCACTAGGGTTAGGCTGAAACTCTGCTTAAAGCTCTGTCAATTCTAAAATTTTAACTAGAAGTCTAGAACCTAACGAAGTCTAGTAGAACACTAGATTTTTTACCCGCGCTATATTGTGGATTGGATAAAATATATAAAATCATATAAAAAAATTATTTTAGTTTAATAATCTGTTTTATGATAAAAAATAATTATAATTTTTAAATAAAAAAATTATATTTAACTATTTCTTATTTGTGTTTTTAAATTTTAGAAATAAATAATAAAGCAAATAAATTATTGATTTCTTTAAAATTTAAATACCTAATTAATTGTTGGTTCTTTTAAAATTTTAACACCTAATATTATTAAGAAATTAAAATTAAAAAAAATTCAATGTTTAGGAAAAAAAAAAAAAAGGAGGCCAGCCGTTTACTATTCATGTGAATAGTAAACGGACGAAAATTAAAAAAAAATTAGTGTTTAGAGAAAAAAAAAAAGAGGGCAAGCCGTTTACCATTCAAATGAACAATAAACGGGTAAAAAAAAAGAAGGAGGGCCCAGCGAGTGCTGGTAAAAAAAAATGAAAAATTAAAAAACAAAAAAAGCCAAAGTAATATAGCAATGAGCGAGTGATTAACACTGTTCATTGCTACGATGAAAAATGATTTTTCTTTAGTATATAATATTAGATTTTTTACCTACGCTATGCTATAGGTTGGATAAAATTTTTTATTTAACTATTTTTTTATTTTTTTATTTTAGAAATAAATAATAAAGGAAATAAATTGTTGGTTTCTTTAAAATTTTAACACCCAATTAATTGTTGGTTCTTTTAAAAATTTTAATGCCAAATACTATTAAGAAACATAAATTAAAAAAAATTCAATGTTTAGAAAAAAAAAAAAAGGGTGCAAGCCGTTTACTGTTCATGTGAACTGTAAATGGATGGAAATTTAAAAAAAAATTCATTGTTTACAAAAAAAAAAATTGTTGGTTTCTTTAAAATTTTAACATCCAATTATTGTTGGTTCTTTTAAAATTTTAACACCAAAATACTATTAAGAAACATAAATTAAAAAAAAATTCAATGTTTAGAAAAAAAAAAAAAAAAGGTGCAAGCCGTTTACTCGTTCATGTTTACAATAAATGGACGAAAATTTTTAAAAAAACTCAATGTTTACAAAAAAAAAAAAAAGGGAGTCGTTTATTGTTCAAATGAACGAGTAAACGGATGGGTGGCCGATGGGTCAAGCCAAAAAAAATTAATGAAAATTAAAAAAATAAAACATCGTAGGAATGAACGAGTGATTGACACCGTTTATTGCTACGATAAAAAACGTTTTGCTTTAGTATATAGGATAAAGTGGGCAAAATTTCAAATCAAATAGAAAACTTTAGCTCTTTATTTCTAACCTTGCAACAACTTACCCATAAAATATGCAAAGAGTGGAATTATATTAAAAAAAAAACAGAACTGAATCAAAACTCTCAATATTTAATCATTTCAATTCACGTTTCAATTAAAAGATAAAATAATCAAAGATATACTTAAATAAAATCAAAATCCATAAGGATTCATACATTTAAAATCGAAAGATACGAATACATCATTTCGATTCTTAAATTCTCTCTTTCAAAGTTCTTTCACTTACACATTAGATAATATTTAAAACTCTATCTATTTAAACTTTGACTAACCATCGACTTGTGTCTTGTTAGCACCGTTTGCTTCTCCTCTCATGCCTCTCATTAGTTATATCTTTTTTACGTAATTGCTTGATAATTACTTATACAAATCACAACACTAGCTTTTTTATATTTTGATTAGCATGCCGACTAGTCTTATAATTAGTTCTTAATAACCTCCACACACAAACACACACAACATTTATTTTCCCTCTCTTTCTCTCGTTAGAAAATAAATAATAATCATAATATATTTTTGTCAAATAATCATCTCAATCCAACAGACTTAAACTTTTTATTTAATATAGCTTTTTTAAGATAATATTAGAACTTAATCGACCAAATGGTAAGAGTTTGAATCCGACCAAGCTTGTTGTTTCTTATAATTAAATTAAATAACGAAGGGTAAAATAGTAATAAGCTTGTACAAATTTTAAAGCTAAAGAACTTTTACTTGATAAGTGTGTTAGAAAATAATATAAAATTATTAAAAATAATATAAAATCATTCATAGAGTCTCATCTAACGGATAAAAGTGTATATTACTCTTTAATACGCTTTCTCAAGAGAAAATCGTCTTGTAAATAGTTTTATATTATTTTCTAACCTTCATCGAGTGAAAGTCATTTGACATTAAAACTTATACGGACTTACCACTATCTTATGTTTATTATAATTAATTTAATTAAAAAAATAAAAATAATGCGATTTGAACTCGTGACTATTTTATTATCAAAACTCTAATACCATTCTTAGGATTTCACCTAATAATTTAAACTTTTTGCATGAAATGATTTTTTATTTTTTTTGACAGTTTCGGAAAAAAAAACGGAAAAAAAAAAGGAAAAAGGAAAAGTTTATCCATTTATGCAATGGGTAAGGGTTTCAATTTCCCAAAATCAATAACAACTAAAATAATAAAAAATAGATAAATTTATCCATTTATGCAGTAGGTTTGAATATCTAATCGAATCAAGTTTGAAAAAGTTAGGGTTTCTCATTGGGATTTTACGAACAACAACAAAATACTCGAAACTTTTATGGATTTTGTTTGAGTTACAAAATAAAACTGATTAAACAAAAATTTACATGGCTAATTGGTAGTCTGGAGTAAAAAATCAATTTTTGTTAGGGTTTCACTCATTGAATTTCTTGCTTCCAATTGACCTCTTGATACAATAAATACATTCTAAACAACCTTCGATCATATCTTTAAATTATTTCTACCATTGATTTAGTGTTTCTTTGAGTTTTGATTTATTTTTTTCTTGGTGGAGATAGAGAGCTAGAGAAAGAGTGAGAGAAAGTGAGAAATAAATTGCTTATTTCATAGGAGAATAGTTTGATCTCTTGATAAGTCAACAATATATAACCCTATCCGTAAAACATGTTTTCTGTAATTTATGAAAAGTAAGATTGCAAAATATTACTTCCATCAAACTAAGACATACTTACAAGGAGATAGCAATTGTCTTGATTTATCCTTTAAACATGTTTTTTGAAGTTTTATTTACTATTATCTTGACCAAATCTTTTTCTTAATATCCCTCTCTTTGATGCCTTGTTCCTGATCTTTGTTAATTCTCTTGTGAGTCGATTGTTCTTGAGCACCTGTGACTAATGACTTTGCTGGTCTCACAACTCTAGCCATTTTAGGAGGGTCAGATTTCCTACCCCTATTGTCTTTGAAAGAAGCTGGTATCATATGGTTCTCTGCTTCTCCACTCCTTGATTGTCTCTTCTTTCTTGTCTCATGAAGAGACAAGAAAGAAGCTGGTATCATATGGTTCTCTGTTTCTCCACTCCTTGATTGTCTCTTCTTTCGTGTCTCATGAAGACTATTCCCTCCTCTTGGCAGTGTAGAAGAACCACGACTCAATGGGCGGTTAATTGAGTTTGAACTCCTTAGGATATGAGGCTCAACAACATCAACCATCAACTCATCTATTGAACAGGTTTTTTGTCCATCAAGAGTGGCCGTAACGACATCCGCAAAATCATTGTGCAGCTTAAACTTCTCTTGCTCCCTCAGCTTGCCTTCTAGTTCCTTGATCTGCCACATTATGTCATGCAAATTATGAAATCTTTTGCAAGATTTGACAAAAAACATGAAACTTGAACCAGTTCTAATGCAATTTGATCAGATTTCCTGCAGCCAATGGTAATGCAAAACTCTTCTAGTTTTAGGGAGATAAAAGAAAAATGACCTTCTGTTGGAGTAACAAGACCTCTGAGTTTCCTTCCTGCTGTTTCAATTTTCTCTCAAGCTCCTTAACCTGGAGGAGGGTAGGAATTAAAGATAATAAATCCAGCATACATTAACTTTTAAGATTTTTTATTGAAAGACATTGACAAGTAAACTTGTTTTCCAACCTTCTGTTGAAGAAAAAGATGATGAGACTCAGACTCCTGCACTTGCTCTTTCAGCTTGTTCTCAAGTTCCTTAACCTGCTATGAAATAGTAGTTCAAAATTTTGAATTTCAGCTTTCTTTTCAGCGATAACTGTCAATTGTTAAACAGGAAAAAGAGATAAGCTGCTCTTAGAAGGTCCTTGAAGCTCCTTCATGCATAGCTTGCAAGGGTAAACTATCTCCTAGTCTTGCACAAAATATGATTTCCAAACATTGCACTGTTATTGTAGCATTAAAAAGAAATCACATCCAAAAATATAGACAATCACTTGTTTCAATTAACTTAATGTTAAAGACACAGACCTGCTGTTGGAAAGTTGCAAGTTCTGCCTGCTGTTGCTCTATAAGCTTGCTCTCAAGTTCCTTCACCTTCACCAGCTAATAAAAACTAGTAAGTCTGGGAGAACAAAGCACCACATATGAAAATATCAACCATACGCCAAGAGAAAGCAACCTTTTGTTGGAGACCACCGCAAATATCTTCCCTCCCCTTCAATCTATCTGTAAGTTGTGAGATTTGCTTCTCTGACTGGCTGTGCAAGGCAGTCTTCATCTCAAGCTGGCCTTCAAGTTCTTTGATTTTCTCCTGCTGGATTTTGCAGACCTGGTCTTTTCCTTTTGCCTTGTTCTCCAGGTTTAGTAAGTTCTCTTCCAGTTTCCTTAGCAATTCATCTTTAGATCTGGATTCCTGCTTTGCTTTGTGAAGCTTTAAACAAAAAAAAAAAAGATGGTGGCTCATAAATCAGATGTTTTAATTATCACTTGAAAAAGAAAACGGTGCTGTTATAAATTGAACTTATCATTAAACCGAAAAAACACTAAAACCCAACCCACCATCATTTTCATCTTTTGAAGCTCGCCTGTGTCAATTTGCTTCCTTGCAGGGCCTAACTCAATCCCACGAACTCTGGTTGCAAAATTTAGTGAACTCAGAGTCTCATTCAAGTCCTTCTCTGAAGGGCTGATTTGTACAAACATCAAAGTTTTGGAGTGACCACCTGCAACAACACATCGTGCCAAATTCTTATAGGGGTTTTACTTCATACAGAGGATACGCATCTAGTAAGACCAATATTTTACCTAATGAATCTTGTAGTAAATGAGTCAACTTAGAGTTCCTGAAAGCACATAACAGAAAATATTACAGCTTGTATATGAAAAATTAATGGAATGATACAAGAAACCAAAATCCACTGCAGACCTGTATGGAATGTGACTACTTTTAGTAGCTAAAGCGTATATAACATCTCCAAGAGCAGAAAGGGATCTGTTGATATTTTGAGCTTCCTTTAGCCGTTCCCCCTGCACATCAGTTTTTGCCAGCCTCTCGCTACCTGCCAAATCTACAAGCCAAAGCTTGCTCTTGGTGCACTCATTGTTCATCAAGTTTTTTGCTCTTACCATTACGCATAGCATGCTGATTCACAATACTTACAATGGTAAATAATTAAGACAAAGGTAACTAAAATTGCTGGAGATCTTCTTACGGATAAGAGAAAAATCAGGGAAAAGTACTAAAGCTTGATACCAGTGAGATCGGCTGCTGTGTTCATTGACATTATTGGATCCAACAACTCTTGCATTGCTCCCGACTTGCAATACATTCCAGACCTCCTTGATGTTATTAACTTTGGCTTCGACAATCCCTGGAACATGATGGGAGCCTTCTGAAGATTGTTTTATCTCCAACCTTGCAATGAAAATAAGAGAAGATTTAGTGAACTGGTGTTCTTATGCAGTTCTTCTTGGGAAATTCACCTCTTTGGCTAACATCATTTTACTATCAACTCAAGTAAAATTAACATTTACTAGGTAAGAGTATAAGGATGAATATGTGGACATTAATATAGAAACCTACTGCTTTGATGCTGGTGAAGTAGCCAATAAGTCTCTAATATGCTCATTGTAGACTTCTAGCGCGCTAACAGATATGCTGTATGTAAAAGTTTCACTTCTTTCATTGGCAATTTCAAACAATTTCTCAAGAGTCCTGTAATTCACTCCTCTGTTCTGCTCAGTGCCTTCCATTGTAAATGTTTTTCCTGTCCCTGTTTGCCCATATGCAAATATGCAAACATTGTACCCGTCTAGCACAGAAATCACCATTGGCGAGGCATCCGCAAACACATCAACTATCATTGCAGAACCAAAATCAGGTTTAATTTACATTTCAGAAAAGAAAATGCTAATGTCTTTCAACCAAATGTTAATGCTTTTGTAATACCTTGATTATCTCTAGGTGAGTAAACCCGGTCGAATTTATAAGTCTTTCTGGCAGAGGCACCAGTTAAAACCTCAAGATCTCCATCCTTTCCAGCATCAAAATCAACAATTGTTGCACATCCAGCTGCTATCTCCTCCTTACTTAATGGGCGGCACCGACAGAAAACTCTAATGTTACCTGATATATAACAGATATAATTGGTAAATTGGATTCAAAATAATTCTCATGTAAAGCATGTTAAAGAATCACTTAGAAGGGACTAAAACATAAAGCCTTGCCTTTGCTGTCTTGAATTTGATTATAGAGTTCCTTCCTCTTTGCTTGTTCTTCAGTGTACTTGACCTTGAGATCCTCACATTGCGCAACTGCAAAATAATTCTGTAAGTCCATGAAGATGCAGTCTAAACTAGTGCTAGCTAACTACAGTCCACATAAGCCAACCTTACCCAATGCTTGAACTCCTACAACCATTTTATTCAGCTCAGGTATTGAATCGGCACAATCATGGGCCTCACGTGAGAGTTGAGACTGATCTTCTTTGATCATCTAATACAAATTAAATACAAAATAATATGATGAGAATCAGAAATATAGAGACTATAGATGAGCTTTAAGCGAAGAATTTTAGTTTCTCTTGCAAAAAGATTTCGTCAGTTACCTTAATCTTCTCCTGTAAATTCTTTACTGCTGCTGCCCAATATTTTTTATCACGGTCATACACAGTGGTAATATTCCTCAGGTTTTCAGCTTGTTTTCCCACGGTTTGGTCTGTCATGTGGGAAAAAAAATACAGGATGAATTTCAGTTTAACCTAAGCATAATTAAGCTATGTCCACCAATCAGACTGAAACAATGAAAAATTACCTATTCTGTAAACTTTTTTTTTTTTTAAAGTCTATGATTAACATTTTCTAGTTTGTCCAGTGCAAGTTTCACTACGTTCTTTATGGAAATCTACATAGATCAGCATTCAGGTTATTATTCTTCACATAAAAATTGTTTCCCAAAAAATTCAAAATACAAATTAAAAAAGTCTGTTTCAATGAATAATATAAGTGCTCTGGAAAATTACCTAAAGAGCGCATATGAAAGGTTTTGTTGTCAAGTTCCATCCTAGCCTTCTCCAGATTCTCGTTTGCTGTAGTCAATGACATCCAAGCCTCATGGCATTCATTTGTCTTACGTTGACACGTAGTAGAGAGCTCTAGTATCTTATTCTCGTATTTGTCTATAGCTTTTGTTCGCATGAGCTTCTTCTGTTAGCCATTAAATAAAAGGCAAGGTAACCAACGACATCAAAAGCTTGAAAACCAAATTTCCCATAAAAGCTACAATCTAACCTGAGCTGAAGTGACTTCAATCTCAGAATCGCATTTGCTGCATTTAAGATATTCTTGCCCTGCCTGGGGAACTACATCTATTCACAATTGATGTACATTAGGAATTGTTTCGTTTTTCATGGCCTACAAACGATGTATTTTACAACAGAAAGAAAACAAATAATACCTGACACATTTGGTGCTTTCCTTATGCAAATTCCGCTAACAACTGCACTGCTATTAATCCCTTCAAATCTTATCAGAAGTACTCCATCCTCCTTCACCCAAACTCTTGAGTCAACCAACTGCAATGGCTTATTGGCACCAACAATAGCAAAGATGTCAAAATCTGCTAACACCTGCCATTTTTTTCCAAAATACCAAATGTTAAAAGTCCTATATCACAATCCACCCCACACAAAGTACATGAGAAATATAAGTAACTGTTTTTTTATGTTTTACAGGACTAGCTTGCCTTGTCATCCTGCATGAATACATCAAATACTCGCATTCCTTTAGGCCCATTTGTATTTATAATCTCCGCAAAATGAAGATCAACAAAATAGCATCCAGAAGGAAGATTATGGAATCGGTAACAAAAGTTTCCCAATCTTGCAGACTGATAGATGAATGGGTAATCTCCAGCCTCTGTTATATCCTCATTGGTTCTCAAAACATTCCCTCCTTCAAAATCACAGTCACCCACAATTCTCACGGTGGAAGAAGAATCCGCTGCTTCAATTGAAGCCTCACCTCCAGCATTTACAAACATTAAAACTTCATCTGGTTCAACAAAACATTACCATACATAAATGAATTCTTTTATAGCAGTCTTTAGCACCGAAACACGAAACTGAGAATGTCATAAAATCTTACTAAACCAAGATAATATTATTTGTTACCTATAACCCAAAAGAATATACAATCCTACAGACACATACATGTTCCTTACTTTTTGTTCATTAAGATCAGAATGGAAGGATATAAAAAGACCCAGTTTCCATTTTCCTTTCTTTTCTCGTAAGACCAACCTAATACTAGAAGAAATGACATGGCATTACAAAAGCTCCAGCAATGATGGTATTATCAGATGCAAGATAATAACCCAAATCTTTAGACTATTACCCTTAAACCCAAAACAATTCACAATCCGAACACATACAAAAATCAAATTTTCTTTCTTTTCTCGAAAAGACCAAACTAATACTTGACATGATATAGCACCAAATATATAAACTAACCTTCACAATTTGATGTGGCAAACCCAGATGGGACTAGTCTTGAATTGGTGTCACAAAGCATGGAATCCACCAAAGAATCACCTTCTTCATCCATGCCAGAATCTTTGCTTTCTTGGTCCAAATTTAAATCTTTCTCCCACTCAAAAACCTTAGAAACCGGAAAATTTAAGAATTGCGTGTCTGGGTGTTGGTGAAAATCTTGAAATCGAATATCTTCCATGGAAATCTCAGCTTTTTAGGTGGGAATTGTTTGAGAATGAGAAAATCTTGACAGCAACGACAACGCTTGTTTCTTTAGGGTTGGTTTACTTGCATACCAGCAGTGGAACTAAAAAGAATGACACTTTCGACTCTTGTGCTGTGAGAAGGTTAAATTTTGAATTCTATGTGACCGTTGGGAAAGCTTATTTCCCGTTACTTTCCATTCTCGCTTCACCTACAAAGGGGTGGATCTAGTTCGGTTTGATTTTTATCTTTTCTCAAATGTGCCCTTTTTTTTTCTTTTTTCTTTTTCCAAGTAGATGGACGGATCGATAGTCACTTATTGAGTATGTGGGAAAAAAAAACATGATCTTGTAATTAAAAAAATATGAAAAATAATATATTTATGATAATATAAAAAAATGAAAATCAAAGTAAAAACACTTCAATAAACTAAAATTAAAATTAAAAAAAAAAACTTCAATAACCTAATATCAATAGAAAGAAAACTTATCATGATAATTTTCTTCTTCTTTTTTCTCTCTGAGACTTTTTAGGTTCAAATCAAGAAAATGAATTAAAAAAAAAGTTGATAGTAGATGTATGATATCATAAGAAACAAACGTTTTATTTTTTTAGATATATCTATTTAAATCCATCTAATTCGTACCTTATCCATCGTCGATTTAAAATTAAAGTCAAAACACTTTAATAATAAAAAAATAATAAAAAGAAAATCTATCATGAGAATTCTTTTTTTTTTTTGTCTTGATTTTTTTAGATTAAAATCGAGAAAATAAAAAGAAAATTTTGACGATGTGTATGATATTATAGAAAATGAAATTTTTTTATTTTCTTAGGTTGTTGTATCTATTTAAATTCACTTAATTAGTGCCTCGTCCATACACCCATTTAAATTGTTTGATCAATTTTGATCAAGTTTACATCTGATATGTAAGGACTTCATCGAAAAACAGTTTTTAAAAACTAAATTTATTTGTTGTAAAATAAGATGACAACAAAAAAAAGACTAAGGACTTATTTGTAAAAAAATAAAAAACAAAGACCAGAGTAAATATTTTTTATAAATTCTAGGGATGACGATATAAATTGGCAAAAATTTTATGTTTTTGACCACATGAGGTGTCAATTTTTAATGATGTTGGTATAACGATGACGAAAAACATATAGTATAATATTGAGAGTACATTGATTCGCAAAATCATTAACCGTTTATTATTTATGTCATGCCTTGTTTCTTTCTAAAAATATATATATCGATATAGTGTGAAAGTAAAAAATAATCCATAGAAAAAATAAAAATAACAAAAAAAATTCTAAATCAATTAGAAAATAAATCAAAGTAAAAACAACTAAACATGTATTTCTTAGTAATCACGTATTTCTTCTCTCCCTTTTCGATCAATTTTTATGCCAATTAATGCTTTTAAAACTACTCCTTTTGATTGATTATATCTCCAATAAATTTCTTTTAGAGTGCGTGCATCATATATATATAAGATTTGAGTCAAAAAATAAAAGGAGGAAATTGAAAAAAAAAATGTAAGACAACATGTTTCCTATTTTGTTTTTTTGTTTTTTTTTCTTTCAATTTACGATTTTATTAGCAAAGATAATAGTCTTTTAACTATCTAAATGTTGGACTATATTAAAAAAAACATATATTTGGTAACATAATTTTTTAAATAAAAATAAAAACAATATAACTTGAATCAATGGACATAAATTTTTTTTAAAAAAAATTGAGAGGAAAAACTGAATTTTCATATTTTTTAACTTTTTTATTAAAAAAAAGATACAAAATATGTCTTTCTTTTTTTCTTTCTTTTTTACCTTACATGTTTCTCTTTTTAATTTTTTTTCCTATATCTATCTAATACATCCAAAAAATATGTCGGATGTCTTGTTCTATTGTTTCCACTAAATTATTATTATTATTTAAAAGGAGAGACTATATTTTCATATTTTTAACTTCTTATTTCAACAAAAAGCTATAGATTTTTATACTTCTTAACTCTTATAATCTTGTGCTTAGTATGCAATAAGTTAAAATAGTTGAGGCTAAAAACGTCAAAGCCTCCGTACCTAACCTCTCGTGTGTGTGTGTGTGTGTGTGTGGCGGGGTGGGGGGGGGCAAAGATATATTTTAAACGTTAAGATACTTGGAAAAACTACTTCGGTGTTAAAAAGCTGTTGATTAAGAAAAAAATAATAAATGGGTAATCATTTTACGCATGACGAGTTTCATTAAAACAAACTTCTTTTTCTTTTTCTTATTTATCTTATACATATTTTGTTATATATCTCATTCTAACATTTCCATCAAATTATTATTAAAAAAATATTGAATTAAAATGAACAATAATATAACTTTTTTGTCAATAGAAATAAATATAAAAACTAAATATAAAGCATGTAAGTTATATTTATATTTGTCGCAATGATGTGACATTAGAATGACGAGTTTGAAAATAGAAATAGAATAATAATAAAAATAAGAGTTATCAACTAGTATTAAAATTAATAAAAAAAAATTCTAAATGACTAGCATGTACAATGATCTTAGGTAAGTAAGAGTATTCGCTATTTGGTGAAAACTCGAATCACTAAATTGAACCGTGCCAAAATATTAATTTTGATATTGTTTTTTTTTTAAATTCAAAAAAAATTGAATCGAAATAAATTTGGTTTTTAGGTTTGGATTCAGTTTTTTTTTTAAAAAATAATCGATTAAACCAAAAAATCAAATTTTAAAACACACACACACGCATATGTATATGTATCTTTTTTTTAAGTCGGATCACTTACTCCATCCCATTATTCCCAAATTGAGAAACTCGTCTCCCTTAGATCCCAATCCCTAAACCTCCCTTAGTCCCCCCCCCCCACTTCGGGCTCCAACCCTATTCTTGTAAGTGCAAGTGTGCAAGCTGCGGCCCTCCCTCACTTACCCACCTTCCTTCTCCTCCTCCTTCTCATGCAATCCTCTACCCTTAGTCGCCTCCCCCTTTTCACAATTGATAATTTCTCAAAGACTTCAAAACACATTCCTTGGTCCCTTCTCTTCCAATCTTCTACTCTTTTCCCACTCTCAAGGTTTCAAGACTTTTAGTTCATGGTGAGTCATGCTTACCCAAATAATTGAAGTTAATCTTTATCCTCCGGTCATTTGATTCATATGGTATGGATTGATAGATGTCATGTTTATATTACTAGGCATGTTAATATTACGAATTGGAGACCTCTATGTCACCTGCTCGAATGCATGCACGAGTGTACTTCCTCCCATAGCTTCGCACGTGCTCTTTATATCTCTACTACAAGTTTAGATGTACACAAAATAACAAAGGCATTGGTAGATTTCCTATCATCTCAAATTCAAGGCTTCTAGAGTGGGTAATTTATTATTTGTTTATCTACCAATGTTTTTGTAATTTTTGTGGGCGTAACTTAGTTTCCTAGCTAGTAATTTGCAAAATAGAAAAGAAACTCATTCTAAATAGAGATCTCGAGAAATTTAAAAAAATCGGCCATTTGTAGAAAAATAAAATAAAATAAAATGAATAAAAACCCAAACTATTGAACATCAAAACCAAACCAAAAACCGAATAAGAATTTGGTTCAGTTTTGCTTTTTTAAAAAAAAAAAAATTCGATTAACAAAAACTATCCAAAATATTTTGAAACCGAATCGAATAATCGAACGGACACTCGTATAGATAAGGGTTTGATTACGGATAACAATCATCCTTCATCATCTTATCTAAGATAGACTATATTGCATGCAAATCTATTATATTTTCTAATTTTTATTATGCTAAATAGTCTTATACCTATTTTGGTGTTTTTGCGATCAAATAAAAAACTAGTCGATCGAATTATTCGAATTTGGTCGGTCGGGAGCTTTATCCTCACACCTGAAGGAAGCAAATACCAAACTAAAAAATAAAATAGGAAATAGAAAGAGATCCAATCAAATTATCTAATAGGCTTTCCCTTACCCCTCATATGTAAAAATAATGAAATAAAGAACCGTAACTTGATTAAAAATGCAAAATGAGAATCTACGATTTTAGTTAAAATACATAACTTGAAAGACCATGTATAATTAAAATATATAACATGAAGGGCCACGGTTAGATGCGTAGCATGAAGTTTCACGACCTTGATTAAAATACGTGACATTAAAGATCATGTATGAATGCATGACATGAAAGACCTTGAATAGATATAAGACATGAAAGAGCATCATTGCATGTGTGAGATGAAAGACCACGGTTTGAATTAAAGTTCATGGCATGGAAGATCATGACTTAAATAAGATACGTGACATTAAGACCATGACTTTGATTAAAATTCGTAACATAAAAGACCTCAACTTTGATTAAAATATGTGATATGAAAAACCATATATGAATGCATGACATAAAGAACCATGCCTCGAATAAAATACATGACTTGAATGACCACATATGGATGCGTGAAATAAAAGACGACAATGTTGATTAAAGTATGTGTCATGAAAGACTGCACAAAATGCATGATATAAAAGACTATGACTTGAATAAAATACGTGATATAAAAGACCATGATTGAACGTGTGATCTAAAAAACTTTAGTTTTGATTAAAGTACATAAATAAAAGATCATGTTTAAATACGTCACATAAAATACCATAACTTGAATAGGATACGTGATATGAAAGACTACGTATAGATGTTTGACGTAAAAGACCATGACTTGAATAAAATATATGACATGAAAGGCCACAATTTGAATAAGAGATGTGGCATGAAAGATCATGCATGACATGAAAATTTACGACTTGAATATTAGTGATCAATGCAATTATATATATATAAATTATTCAAGATATTTTTTATTTTTAAAAATCATGCATATAGTACTAAATTATGTGCTTATTATTTGTTAAGCTTATTTGTATTATATACTCGAAAAAGAATACATCACTACCTAATTTACATCGCATCCTACTTAT